TGTGAACAGTCTATAAAATGGGCAACCTTTCTAATCTCTTTTTGTGAGTTATTTCCCATGACGACTTATTCTATACCTGTCAAGGTCACGTGGCAACGTCCCCCGGTGTAAAGCTAGCTCGGGGAGGAGAGGGGGGGGGGGGAGTGGAGAAATCCTCACATCCCCCGGGCAGATTCCTACTTTCCCATCCTATCAATATCAAGTGTTGTTTTTTTTAATTTAAATCCTGAGTACTGCGACATGGACACAACATTTATTATCAAACATAAGAGAATTTTCTTAAAGCTGCGCCCTTGACGAAAGAATTCCGTGTACATCCACAAGACAGTAAGGATTTACGTGGAATTTATGTATATTGTGTAACCAGTTGAAGTTGTTGCCCTTAAAACACTTTTAACAGAGCCTACTAAGTGCATGCTTAGCTTCCCTTTCCTCTCCTTACTCCCTGACCTCCATCCCCAAACACACCCACTTATCAAGGAACGTACTGTTTTATATCACATACTTGAGTCGTTGTCTTGACGGTTCTTGACCGGCACAAAGCTTGCCACTGTCTTGTTCTGATTGCCATATTCACACGACACATAGTACAGGTGATCATACTCGTACAGCTGGCCTGTACCACCAGGGTCACCCTTTTTTGCGCTGATTTTAAGGATGTATTTGACGCTGTTAGGAAGCTGTTGTGAAGAAAAAGCACAGTCCGGTAGGGGAAGACCATCGTAGTTTACCGTCCTATTGTTCTGAAATGTTGGCTGGCACGAGGCATTGTTTTGTAATCGCCACTCAGTTTCAGTCCACCTCGCAAGATCATCTACGTTGGTGATGGCTATATCGACCGTGTGATTGTTGTGACAAGTGACTTTGCCAATAGGTCCCACAAGACTAGAGTGGTTCGCGCCTGCAAGTAAGAAAAGCTTAAGGTTAAGTGTGATTCTCATTTAAACACCTGGGTGGAGAGAGGCACTGTGATGGTAAAGTGTCTTGCCTAAGAACACTACCCAATAACCTCAGGCCCTGAAGAGGTCGAAGCCCGACCTTTCGATCCGGAGTCCAAGACGATACTTCTAAACTGTGACTGCAAACGCCCCTACCCTACACAGTCCAGCACTTCCTTTATAAGCTGTAATATTTTTGTGCCCCGCTGTGAAGTCGGGAATAGATCTCGAATTGTTTTAGCATGAAAATGAGTATGGGTTTTCGTTTTTGTCTGAATTAAGTATCTGAGGAAACCACAGAATCGGAAAGTGTTTCTATAAACTCTTTCCATCCAACCATTAAATTAATCGTCTCTCTGGTTTGTTCACTAGTTAACTTGTTAAAATTCTAACCAATTCTCAGCTGTCAGTTTAAGTCCATCCAGACCCTTGCCAAAACCAAAACCAAAACCAAAACCGTTTGAGTGGAATTTTCAGATTTCAGAATGTAAAACATTTTCTACACTCCTCAAACTCGACGTTAAGTTACCTTTCACAACCTGAAAAAACAGTGCAAATCCCACCAACAGAATGAGCTTCTTCATGCTTGAATCCTTGAACATCAATTTCTGTAAACAACAACAAGAACAACAATAGCAACAGCAACAGCTATAAAACAATATTGGTTTCTGCAGTGTTAGGCAGTATTTCAACATTTTCGCGTTTTTCACAAATTTCCCTTGTTCTAAGTTCACTCAAGGTTTTGACTCAAAATTAACAATTCCACGCGAAAAGGCGAAGAGTCTTTCTTTTTTACCTTTTCGTATTAGATCTTTTTAGAGTTTCTTTTTATAATCAAGAGCTATTATTCAACTGAAGTTAATTTAAACGAACACTCTGCACAGTTGTTTTTAGGAACTTGTAATCCTTGATCATGAGTATTGAAAATCTGGATAACAATCGTTTTTGTCAGCTTGTTTGTTTCAAAAAGTGTTGGCTCCACGAATGTGAACATATTGTACAGTAACAAAATAAACTAAAAAACTAACCATACAGTAGAAAGTTGTTTATTGAAGTGCTGTATGGCTCTTCGGAGTTAAGCGTCAGCCATTGTCATATATTCCGGAGAATTGGTGGCGGGGGGAGGGGGGAGAGGGGGAACTTGTAGTCGGAGGGGTAATTTTGGGAACTCTCTTACTACAAATCAGAAATACCTGTGGTACAAGTATTTCTAATATGTAGTAATAGAGTTAGTTGATATGTAGTAATAGAGTTTTGTCACATCAGTTATACTTTACATGCAGAGCTGGCAGTAACAACATAACGGTCCAATTAACAGTTTTTCGGCGTGATCCGGAATAAGTTAATTGCTCCAGCAATAGATTTGATGACATGGGTTTGACATATTCTGAGAGCGTGATTAACCTTATTTACGAAAATAGCTTAACTACAAAAAGCAAGAGTTCATTCGCGCACGAAGTAACCGCCTCGTTTATTTTGGTGTTGCATGGTTGTTTTATAATTTAATTTTAAGCACTATGAACGCAAATAATTAGCATCACTTTAAAATTCTTTTATCACCCTGAGGTGTGAAAGCCATATAGCTTTGTGACATTTTTAACGAATTGAAACACTAATGATGAGGACAAAGCGACAAATATTTTACCGGGTAATGAAATGTCTCCGTTTACGACACGGTGCGTCTTTGCCGGAAACCTTTTGAAGGGCCGCTCTGTTTGCCTGGGATTAAGTCCCGCATTTTACATGACGCACGGCCTTTGAAAATATCTTGTAAGACAAATTGTTTTCATGTTAATCTGTTTCAACCTGAAGTGATCGAATGATAATCACATTAAACAATTTGAACTCATTCATTAAAAATCCTAATCCTTTAAGGGGAAATTAATTGGCCACTCCAATAGTGTTTACCTAGAAGGAAATTTAATAATGGCTGCCGTAAATTTAGTGACTTGATTTTCCAAGGGTAAGCGACTATATTTAACTAAGCGAAAAATTCAACTGTTTTCACTGAATTTGCAAGAATCATTACTGAACATTTTAAGAAATTTTTAGATTCAGGGTTTACTTCAATCGGCAACTTTTCAATGAAATATCTAAATTTGCTAAGCAAAGTTGTCACGATCATTTGAAATTAACAGCTCCCTTTATGTGTAACTCAGAAAGGGCGATTGTCGAGCGATTTTCACTTGCGTTTGCTTTGGCTTTGTACTACCACGTCAAGCGATTGGCCAAAAAACGCACGTCACGTTATTCAATCAAAAGTAAAACCAACACCAATCGTGCCCCGCTCGCATGATTTTTCCCACGCTTTGCGTCGGCTACCTGTCCATAGTTACATTGAGTTTTGATTGGTTCACTGGATTGCCTGTGTGCTTTGTGATTGGCTAGAGTGATTACTTTGGTTTTTCTCTGACGGCCGTTTAATTAACAACCGTTCCATGGACAAACAGTTGCTTATTCATTTTAATTAATGTTAAAAAAAAAAACGCGCATCTCAAAGTGCTCACATACAAACCGTAAACTTTTGTTCTTTTAAACTCAGCACTGACATTGCAAGATTGAGCGTGTAATGAAAATACGTCTATCGGAATTTGCATGTGGGCGTTTATTGAAATAAAGGGCAGTTAGTGTAAACAAGGGTGCAAACACGTAAAACATATGACCCTCGGGAGAACGTTTACCAAAGCGAATCATTAAATGAAAATTAAATTCAAACCGTTTGATTTTCATGATACCGGCATTGCTTCCTTTTTACTGTTGTCACCGTATTGTTGTCTTATTAGCAGTTAATCATCGCATTCAACTGAATTTGTTTGTAGTACACGGTTAAGATTTATCATTTGTTGCTGGAAGAGCTAAAGAACAATATTTCGTCGGTATATGTATCAGGTGCTAAACTTCTTAGCGCTAAATCATTCAAGCATTATATACAGATCTAGAGCAAAATCAGTGAACTGCTATTATCACGAGTAACTTAAGCACACAAAGCAGGAACTTCAATAATTAATAACTTATTTGTTGACAAAATGTTATCAACTGATTGAAAAAATTCTCGACAGAAGAAAATTACCGATTTCGAATGATTAAAAACATGTTTTTGATGAATTAATTCAAACTGTTTATTGTGATTATAATGAGATTTTTATCTTCAGCAGCTTGAAACAGATTAATGTAGGTCGGAAACAAATTAGTTAACGTGAAAGGAATTTTTCGACCCAATTTGACCCACAACATTTAACAAACACCTTGCACAACTCTGCAAGCAAGGATGACATAAATGATCTAGCGTAAATAAAATCCTCCACAAAGTCATTGGCGTTTTCAACGAAAAGCCTTTCAAATCATTCACCGGAGAAGCCATGTAATTTGTTAACAACCTTCGTTTTCTTCGACCTAGTAACTTGTCAAAAATGTTGAAAGCTATGCATCGTTATTCGTCATAAATTTCGGCGACGTTTATTTTGGATGACGACCAAGTCATAACTTTAATGCCCAAAGGAGTTGAAAACAAACAAGTTACATGCGCTACTTAATTCTTGCCCGGTTTTTTGCACAAAGGAATGCCGTGCCCCATTCTAGCACTGCATCCAGCAAAATCATTTGGCAACTAAATAACTTAATGGCCACATTTTCGAATCAAGCATAGCATGTATAGCAGATGATATCTAAAGAAAAACTACAAAAAAAAAACCAAAACCAGACAACTGGACAAAAGTGGTCAACTTATAGGTTATTCTTAGGGTTTAGTTTTATGACAAACACGTTCTGATGTTGTGCCAGTTAGCATAACTTACACTGATTCACCAGTCTCGAGAAATAAACTGCTGTTTGTTTGAAGCAGCTAGCCAATTTCCGAATTAAAAAAATGACATTTTGGTATGTTAAGATTTTGCTTAACAATAAATATATTATCTTTCACACGCCGGTACCTTCTCGTCAGTTGAAACGAACTTAACTAGATAGAAACAAAAAACCTCTATGTCGTTTTTTTTTTTGCAATGAGCTACGGTTATGTGTTGGAATTTCGCCCTACAGCTCAATGACTAACGACAGCTTCCAGCATCCCCCACAAAACAGAAACTTACAACCCTTTCCCAGAATTAGCAACTTTACCTTAAATGAGTTGAACTTAATAATACGGCTGAGAAACTTGAACGTCGAGGGGACACAATCTACAGATTTAAACAATTTGACTTACTAGTTCACGTCGATCGGCTGTTGTGTTTGTCCTTTTACAGTCTTCCCTTCAGCTTCGTGGCAGCTCTGGAGATCAGTTATACTTGCTACGGCGAAGACATAACGAGTTATAATGTGACAAAGATTGACAAGGTTTGCTTTGGAATTACACTGAAATGACGTTGAAATTAAGTGGTCTATTCCTCATCCCGCAGATCTCTCTCAATGATTGGTTCATTCCATTTTATCAACAAATAGTGTTTGACTGTACGGCAATCAAAATTTCACCCTCATCCAGGCGGATCAACTTGTTTTTTCACGCCCACTTCCAACAAAAATGACAATCATTTGTAATTTAAATTGAGTTGATTTAAACCCCTGGCAACTTTGACAATATTGTGATACAATTTAACATCAACAACAGGACTGAATTTTTTTTTTACAATGGCAGAAAGCCAAAACGATCGAGCGTAGATTTTCGACAAGAGAAAACGCGCGGTAAATTGAGAGAGGATCTGAATTTCTTTTATCCAAAATGATTCCGAAACTCGTGGCATCATAGCAGAACTTCGACGGCCCGCCGTGAAGGATCGCCAAGCGGAGCACCATAACTAGAGGAACAGAACCACATGCATAACCATGCAACTCTTTTATCATGGTAAACATGGCCAGTGGCATGGATCACGGTTGCGTTCGCCTTACGACGACGACGACGACGACGACGACGACGACGACGACGACGACGACATTGCGTAACATGGCGGCCGTATTCCAATTAAAATGCAGCCTTGGTTTTCAGCGTACATCTTTGATATTGAATAATTAACACCTGTTGTGGTCAAATGACACCTATCAGAACAAGGTATCGGCTGACTAGTATCACGTGACCATATCGCGGGCTCAGGTTTAGAGCTCATTGATGTCACGTGTTTTCTTAAGTTGACCACTGACCAAGTACTGGTTGTCCCCTTGGTGAGCATGGTTAAATTCATCAGTACAGTTCTTTTTGATAGTTCAGGACCCCTCCACACCACGCTAGGGAAATTTGAAAACGTAGTTTTATTTCTACGGTCAGGCCTACCGTCCCCACTAATCCGTCACTAAAACTGAGCTTTTCGAAAACGCTCTTCAAACAGGGGGAATTTGAAAACGCCGGCTTTGCGTTTTAGAGTGGACGGAAAACAATTTGAAAACGGAGCTTTTCGAAATCGATGACGTCACGATAACCATGTGATTTCCCTGACCGAGTTTTCCTCAAACACAAACCCCCCCAAAAAACGTTTATTGTCGCCTTTTTAATATCTCCGGGGTAGTGTGGACGGAAAGCATTTGATGCGTTTTCAGAGTGAAACCTCTGTTTTCAAATTCTCCAGCATGCGTAGTGTGGACGACGCCTCACTTCCTGGTCACATGCGTTTATATTGGTTTTTTTTTTCTACTGAAATACATGCACAATGATATAACAAAAAAAGAACAAGAGAATATTTTCAGTCTTGGGTCGGCAGAAAATACGAATATCCAGAAAAAAATGAAGATATAAGCATTCTTTATAAGAAAGTGCATGTACTGTAGTTAGGCAAGGAATAGCCAAGTAAATTATTTATTACAAATGATTATGTCATGTGTTTGATCTGCGGAGAAAGATATGAAGATATGATTGGTCATTGCAGTTATACACCCAACTTAATCAAGCAGTTGTGAAATTAAGCCTGAAAAAAATTCAGGCTTGAACGGGATTCGAACCCATGACCTCTGCGATACCGTACCGG